GTAAGTATAATTTATGCTTATCTCAGACTTTAAGTTACATATTATATTATTTGAACTGTATATCTAATCACGTACACACACATCTGCTGTTCTTACATATACTTGTGTGCCGAGAACTCAGTAGTTTTGTCATTATTCTATTTTAAATTTCGTTAAATAATGTTGATTTTTAAAGCAATGAAAATCACATCAACAATATCAGGTTGAAGACACATATATATGATCCATTGAATAACTGAAGATCAACCTTTGAAATGTTTGGTAATTTGAATATAAGTAGGTTAATTAAGTAACTATGTTCATGATCATCAATTTTCTATTAGATATTTACTGATTAACAAGTTAGAAAACATCCCAGAAGGTTAGTTAACATTGAACATGTTGAACACCAATCTTCAATATGTCAGACTTCCTTTTTATATGCTAATTTAACTTTTAATGTTATTCAATATTTTAAAATTAATCTTAGAATTCCTTTTGGTAATTTGAATATAATTGCCTTGATTGAATATGTTCTTACATAATTAAGATGCTTGATTATACTCCAAAATTGTAACTAAAGACAACAAGGAAAGTTTACCAGATAGTCTGTTATCATCAAACACTAAGTTACAAGAATTGTAATGGTGAATAATGTTTATCACAGACTTTATTTTATGAAAGATTGTGTTGTTTATATAATCACGTACATATATAACTGATATTCCTCAATATACTTGTCTGTTGACAACTCAGAAGGTCTACCTTAATTTCATTTTATTGGCAAACTTCCTTTGTGCATACTTAATGTTAGTTTCAATGTCACTCATTGTTTAAAGATTCCAGTTGAAGCTTATAAAAATGCATCATCAATGTCAGTTTGAAGAAAAATATATTTCATCTTTTCAATACACGGAGATCGAATTTGGTAATCTCTGGTAAATTCGGAATCGGTGTTTTAATTTAACATGTTCTTACAAAATCAAGATATTTGACTTCCTTTCAGATATTTATACGTAAACAAGTTAGTAACTTTACCTGAAGGTCTGTTTTCTAGCAACACAAAACTTGAAACATTGTAAGTATGATTTATGTTCATCTCAGACTTTAAGTTACATATTATATTATTTGAACTGTATATCTAATCACGTACACACACATCTGCTGTTCTTACATATACTTGTGTGCCGAGAACTCAGTAGTTTTGTCATTATTCTTTTTTAATTTCGTTAAATAATGTTGATTTTTAAAGCAATGAAAATCACATCAACAATATCAGGTTGATGACACATATATTTGATCCATTGAATAACTGAAGATCAACCTTTGAAATGTTTGGTAATTTGAATATAAGTAGGTTAATTAAGTAACTATGTTCATGATCATCAATTTTCTATTAGATATTTACTGAATAACAAGTTAGAAAACTTCCCAGAAGATCAGTTAACATTGATCATGTTGAACACAAATCTTCAATATGTCAGACTTAAGGAGGCTCGAGGGTATAAAATTTAAATTACAGTTTTTCCTTATAATTTGTTGATTGAAACCTCTTAACATATGAATTAAAAAATGCAAAAAAAATAGGGGGTCACCGACCATCTAAGCAAGTTACAGACTGCTAAAAAAATAGGTTTTCCCCTCATAAATCGTACAATTTTTACAAAGACTAATAGGGAAAATTGCACCTGCGTTGCCTTCATCTTAACCTACTGAGAGAAGAAAATTACAGATTTCTATTATACTTTTCATTCTAAGAGAGTTGGTAGTGAAGTTCAGAAAAAGCAAAAAAAAAGTGGGGGTCACCGACCTTTTAAGAGAGTGTGAAACCATGGCAACCAAAAAAGGTAATTTCTGAAAAAAAATCAACTTTTTCTCCAGTATTTTGGCCTTAACTATATGAAATGAAAATCTGTTTATGGTTAACAGTACCCCTAAGTGATATGCAGGCCAACATTGAATTTTAGGTCATTTTGATAAATTCGTAAGGTCATAGGTTAAGGTTATGGTGTTCATGAACATGATAAATTTGTTATTTTTGAAAGTTTTGATGAAATTTTTATGAGATCATTCGCTAAGTTAAATCAAAATTACAGATTTATATTATACTTTCCATTCTAAGAGAGTTGGTAGTGAAGTTCAGAAAAAGCAAAAAAAAAAAGTGGGGGTCACCGACCTTTTAAGAGAGGTAGACCACCAAAAGTGTGAAACCATGGCAACCAAAAAAGGTTATTTTTGAAAAAAAATCAACCTTTTCTCCAGTATTTTGGCCTAAACTATATGAAATGAAAATCTGTATACGGTAAACAGTACCCCTAAGTGATGTGCAGGCCAACATTGAATTTTAGGTCATTTGGTAAATTCGTAAGGTGAAAGGTTAAGGTCATGGTGTTCATGAAAATGATAAATTTATGCTATTTTTGAAAGTTTTGATGAAATTTTTATGAGATCATTCGCTAAGTTAAATCAAAATTTACATATTATTAACTGTCATACATAATGAAACAAAATGTAAAACAAAAATTTAAGTGGAAGGCGAACCTGAATGATGAGGGTCTGGAAAGGGGGTCCTTCAACCTTCTGTTCTTTAAATCTTTATGTCATTATTCTCTATTCCTAAATTTTAGCACTCCTTTATATTCTATTTTTTTTTGGCGATTTTCTCTATTCTTTATATGTTTTGGCCTTAATTTAAATTGCACTTTTTATCCATTATTCTCTATGCTGTAGACCCCATCCAGATACTCAATGATTGTCGAATTCAGTTATCAAAGTCACTATTGTTAGAATAGTCAGACTTATATTGTAGGGAACATTCTAGATGATTTTGAAGGAAAAGTACCAAGATTATATAGATTATAACGCACTGGGAAAAATATTCCTTTATAGATCTAACACTGGCGGATCCAGAAATTTTCATAAGTGTGGCCCACTGACTGCCTATATAATCAACCAAATTTTTCCCAAAAAAGGGGGGATCTGGGGCCCCTGCCCCCCTTAAATCCGCCTCTGTCTAATGCCTATAGGGCATATTATGTAACAAAATGAACTAGTCAACTAGATAATTAGATACCTAAAAAATGATTCCTCCACTTGTCCTCCAAGTTTGACATTGGAAACCTCGAACATCATTATAGTTCCATCAAAAAATAAAATAGGTGCATAATGTATTTTGAATTATGTTTCCTTGAAGACTTCCGGACTTATATGTCACATTTGGTTGTTTCCTATTAAAGAGTTAATGGTTTAGATTAAGATGTAGTCTGTGTCTGTCCCACGTCAGGAGCCTGTAGTTCAGTATTTGTGGTTTGTTGCTGTATGTATCTTTCATTTTCATTTATTGTTCTGTACATAAACTAGGCCTCTGATGATATAAGAATGGATGGTCAAGGGTTAATCTATTTCATATCCCATCCACATTTGTGGTGGGGCATAACAAAATATAATCTTTGTTTCTACATAAAATACAAATAACAACTTGCAGTATAGGTGATATAAGTATTTATTTATGGACATATTTATGGTCCCATACATTAACTGATCCATATAACATTAAATCCAAAATCAATTAACCAATGAAATTGTTTAAACGCATGGTTTGATTTGTGGCACTTATTTCATTCATATAACAAGACATTTCACTGTGCAATAGGGAGTGTAATTATCCTGTTCTGCCAGGCATTTTATGCAAATACCACCTTTTTTTTTTACATTTCCTTCAGAATACTAATTCTTATATTGAAAGATAAATTAAAGATTTAATTTATCCCTTAAAATACAACTAGGCAAAAGGTAAGATACTTCATTTGCCAAAGAAACATAATTGGATACAATTAGACTGTACCAGTAATGAGTGATATCATTTTGCAATGCATCTGGTAAAGATTATTTTTCTCATTGACAAAAATACTACAAGAAATACAACTTTAAATATCTCCCATTGGGTTTCTATCAATAAGCTTTTAACTTCACTGATGGCCATTTTGAATTTCTACAACAGTCCAAACACTTGTTTAGGACCTTGAATTAAATATATATCTACTTTTTTTCAATTCAATCTATAATGCTGTTATCATTGAAATGTGTACTGAACTGACCCTTTAAGCTCCTTCCTAGAACCAAAGCTAGTAGCTCGAACTGATCATCTTACAAAGTTTGTCACTTAATATTATTTGTAGTTAAAATATAAAGCAACATGTAAATTGACATTTAATCTTTGCTGGCTCTTATTTTTATTGTCAATAAGATAACACCACTTGTTCAATACCTTGATCGGAAAATAAATAAATGTACTATGTTTTGTTTCAATCCCTACAGGATTTCTTGAGAATAAGGTTTCAATCAAGATTAACCAATGACAATTTACATTCAGACAGGATGGCTATCTATCTTTACCAATTGTCACCTAATCTTCAACAATTAAAAAGGACATTAATTGATAGAAATAATTTATCTGCAAAGTTTGATAAAATTCTGTTCACTATTCCTTAAGCATGAGATAAAAAATAATAATGTTTACAGACAATTGATGACTAGTGATGGCAATTGCCCACAAGGTTAGCTGAAAGGATATAATATATAATTCCAGTATAAAAACAAAGAATTATCAACTAGCTTTCAGGAGTAAGGAAGTCAAATATTTTTCGAATGACCTTCATGCAATTTGTGACTCGAACATTTCCTCTGTCAGTTTTTTCAGACAATAAAGCTTTTAATCCTTCTAGTCCTATTCTCTCAACAGAAAGTTTAAGATGAGAGAGCTTTAAGTTTGATTTAGAAGCCTTCAAAGCAGTCGCTCGTGTAATTGCTTTACAAGCAATGGCTTCATTATAAGACTTAAGATTGTCTTTCTGGACTATACAATCATAAGGATGACTTGCAGGAAAAACAAATTAATCCAGATTGTTTAAGGCTTTTGAGATTAATAATTTAAACAATGCTCTAGTGTCATCAACTGCATTGTGTGCACAATAGTTTTCACCAAGAAGTTGTGACACCAATGAAGTTTGAGAATATGATGGTTATCCTGGAATTATTTTCTTGAATAACTCCATGGTGTCTATGAATCCACATATGTGAGATGAAAACTCATTCCACAACTGATTTGCCTTTAAAGAATGGTACAAAACATGGCAATCAAAGCGTTTGATGTTGTGTCCTACAAGAACTGGCTTGGATGGATATTTGGAAAGAAATGTTATAAAATCAGTGAGAGCTTCATGTGGTAATTTGTACGAAACAGGTTGTAAATTATAAAACATCTGATTTGCAGAAACGGTAATTTTTGTAGTTTCGGAGGCCTGTATTGAGATAGGTTGGTTTGGAAAGATGTAACTGCTAAATTCATTATTGTTTGAAGTTGCAGCAATCTGTATTACATCTGAGGTTCTATCTGGAAAAAACAATTAGTTTAGTTTTTCTTATTTCAATATTTCTCAATAAATACAAAATATGTTACCTGCTAATTCAATAGTTTTAGCAATGTATGGGTTAATCTTATCACCAAAATGAACCGAAAAGGAAAAGAAAAAAACTAATTATTTTTTTCATGATTTATTATTCTAATATTGTGTTTACAATATCTAATGTTCACTTTTCTTTTTTAGTTTTTCATGTGAGGGTCTGTTAAAGCCTCCTGTGTGATATAGGTTTATGATTTTCATTGTTGAAGTCGATCGGTATGATTGCCTATAATTGCCTACTTTCACTTCATTTGAACTTTTTTTTTTTTGGGGGGGGGGGGGGGGGGATACAGTCTCATTGGCAATCATACCACATCTCCATTTTTTATGTAGACAGTTTAAGAAATTTGAATGGGCAATTTTCCTGCTGTGATATACAATTATCTCTAACTTTAATATTTGAGTGATATATATATAATAGTATTACTTCAAAAAGAAGAATGAAAAGCTGGTTCCATGTGCAATAACCAATATACAATGTATAAAAGCATATAAAGTTTTCATATAATTTATTTTATCATATACTTAGCATTAATATGATAGCTTTTGCATATGTGTAATGAACGGAAGTACACAAGCCACAATTTCCCACCCGGAATGTTAACCCATATCAGGGGCCTCTCGTTCAAGTTACTTCCGGTATTTCCACTATCGTCTGTTTAATTTTCCATTGTTGCGTCAGATATTTTTTATTATGACGTCAAAATTTTACTGGAACTTTTGTGATGTCCAGTAATGGCGGACAAATAGCGATAAGGTGTATTGGATCCAGTGCACGGTAAATTCGTTTGTACAGAACCACCTGTTATTGAAAAAAAGATGTTAACATGGCTAAATCCAATGATATAGATTCTCAAAATGATGATAGTTAAGTACTTGCTAACAAATGCCATTGACAATTATATGAATCATCTCATAGTACAACATGTAGTAATAATGATCATAAAACTGTAAATACTTCTTTGCTTCCAAATTTTCAATGTTTCAAAATGCCTCTATAGGAAATGGTAACATAAATATATATGGAGGTAAGTGATGCTACTGTTGGACAATGATAGTGTATTTGTTGGATTCATAATTTAACTTCTTTATAAAGTTTTTGACTGTTTTAGTTATTTCATTTGTTTATTTGCCTTACATAAAACAATTGTCGGAAGTATATGATAAAGAGATTAATACATGGCCTTTTCCATATCGGCCCGGGTATCATCCCTCGACCCATATCAGCACATCGACTACGTCTCGGGCTGATATGGGGGTCTCGGGATGATACCCGGGCCGATATGATAACAATTTTTCTATATATTTATATATTAACGACTTACATAGGCTTGTAGTTTCTAAATCAAAGACTACCAGTGGAGCTGTAGAAATATCTATCGGTATACATAAAGATGCATTCATTGGAGCAGGGATTTCTTCATCTAACTTTTCATTGTTCATTCCTATAACACATCAAGTTTTGTAAAAACAAAATTGCAGATTTTAATTGTTATATATGGTGTAAAATGTGTTTGTACAAAAGTAAATGAAACATCAAATGTTTAAAGTATGTTCTATTTTATAACTTTGATAATCCTTATTGCATGTCTTGCATCAATCTTACAGACCAAAAAAGGGGCCCTCCGCTAATCAATTATAAGTACGAAAGACAGAAATAATTAAGAGTTTAAAAATCATACTTTGGTTAAATTTGCAATAAGTTAATTGAAGTCAAAGTTTAAATTCCAAGAAAATTTAAAAAGTTAAGGATGTACCTATTTCACTTTCATAAGTTCTTCCTTCTCTTATTTCAACACCGGTACTTTTTCCTGATCTTTCTTTTTTTAGATTGATTCTTCTTTTTTTGTGCTGCTTTGTTTTTGCTCTTTCAGATTTTTTATTCCTCTTTCTATTCAATCGTATAGCCCTCTTGATAGTCTCATTCCCAGGTGACAATCCAGCTGCTTCACTAACCTTAAAAAATAAATAAATAACAACATGTATAAATTCAATATGAGGATGGTCTTAACAGTTATTTAAGAAATGACTGTTCCTTTTTGTTGCCAAGTTTTATTTTGATGTAAAAGCATTGATCAGAGCACATTTTACATGAAGCACTTTAGGCTTTTATACCCTATAAAACTACAAAAATAATGAAGAAGGAACAAGGATGCGAGATTTTCTTGCTGTGTTGAAGACCCATTAATGGACTTTGGCTGTTTTCTGCTTTGGTTAGGTTTGCTGTCTGTTTAACACATTCCCCATTTCAATTCTAAATTTTATTTCTTAAAATTACATTTCACCTTTAAAATATACTTTTTATTGAAATAACAAATTTCCCTTATTTTGTTTTGAAACATTAGGGAGCAACCATTGAACTTCAAGGGTGGGGGGGGGGGGGGGGGTTATGGTCTGTTGTTTGAGTCATAAAATATTTTTCATGCAAAGCAATTTTATTTACTTTTTGACGCTAATAATCAAACTTTTTTTCTTCAAAACTTAACACTATAAGGTAATGGGGAAATCTGGATTCAGAATATTTTTTTGTCATCTGCTTAAACAGAATATTTTTTTCATCAAACTTGGGATCAGAATATTTTTTTTTTGGAAAAAACCATAAAAGTATAATTTGCAAATATTACCTTTGACACATAACCATATCCCTCATTTTTTTGTAAGACTGCTGCACTGACACGATAATTTAAACTTGAGGAACCAGAATAATGCTTATTTTTTGCTGCTTTGGTTGAGACCGTATGGTTAAAGCTTTCATTTGCTTGGGAGCTAGCAAGTTTTGACAGTTTCTTTGATTGGCTTTCAATTTTTCCCAGAAACAATTTCTCTAGATCAGCTTTGAGGCTTTCAGATGTCAAGTCCTTTCCGAGGGGTAAGTTTGTGTGCCTGTATGATGTTCTGTCTTTTAGATAACCACACCATTTCATATCACAGGTTTGGTGTTTCCCATACATATGGTCAATCATCCCTCTGACTCCTTTTTCAATTTTTTCTGGACTGCCTTGGTTTTGTGCCAACATGTAGGAATAATTCTTGGTAATTGCATTTATTACCATTGGCGTCAACTCCTTTTGCTTTGGTTTTAGGCTGTACAGCTTTTTGGTGATATTTATGATTATATGATTCCTATCACTGGTTTTATCATTTTAGAATTTGGAAGAAGTTTCTTTGCCCTGTCAAACCCAACAGAATCATCATCACCTGCCAGTTCATTAATTTCAATATTTTGTTCATGTACATCCTTCACCAACTGTACTACCATGTCTGGTTCCATGCCCTTTGCTGTCCCTGACCAGTTTTTTTTTACAATTGTGTGGTATAGGTGGTCTTCCCTTCTTTTGTGCATTCCGACATATACGGCAGCTGGATATTCTGAGGGTGTGATGCACAATTTTCCCTGTTTTTTCCCCTATCAGTGATGCCACACCTGAAAAGTTAAATGTACATGCTAATGCAAGTAAGTGTAAATATGGAGTAATCATGTTGCTATACTAGTATTTCAAATTGATTGTGTAATAATTCTTAAATGATTTGCATATCTATAAATACTTGAATTGGATTGGTCAATTAGAATTTTTCTCTTGGTTTACACTTAGATAAACCATGTTTCCGAAACTAATTTCATAATCTATTCATGCACGATACACATGCTTGCAGGGATCGCGTGATTTTCAGCATTTTGAGATTAAAAAACAAATTTGGCTTAAGAATTATAAGGATTAAACACATTTTTTCTAGAGGTTATTGATGTGTAAACCGGGGCTCTTACTCACAAACTCTAGAAAAAATGTGTTTAATCCTGTAATAAAGGTGTCAACCTAATTTTGCCTAATTTTAGTAAAAGCCACTTTTTGTAGGAATAAAAGACAGAAACAATATATTTCGCTGAGTATTGCATTAGTCATAAGGTAAACTTACTTTGAGATAGTAAAATACACGATCTACAGCTGCAAAGTTTAGAATGGAATACAAAAAGGAGCCAAAAACAAGCATTTTTCTTGTTTCGGGACAATAACTTGTGTATAAGTGTAAGAATCTTTATGAAATTGTACCACATGGTTTCATACCTCAAAAGGAATGTTGGGATTTATTTTGTGGGAAATGGCCTAAACCATTTAGGAATAAGGGACCAAAAGGTGCAAACAAACTAGGATGTTCTGGTTGCCTGACAATTACTTGAGTATAAGTCTATGGATCTCTTTGAAATTATACCACAAGGATCCATACCAAACAAGAGGCTCTCAAGAGCCTGAATCGCTCACCTGTATTTCAGAGGAGAAGATTTTTAAATGTTAGCAAACTTGATGAACAAATTGGGTAAAATTGTCTTTAAAGGGCAATAACTCCTTAAGGGGTCAATTGACAATTATGGTCATATTAACTTTTTTGTAGATCTTACTTTGCTGAACATTATTGTTGCTTACAGTTTATATATATCTATAATAATATTCAAAATGATAACAAAAAACTGCAAAATTTTGTTAAAACTACCAATTCGGTGGCAGCAACCCAACAATAGGTTGTTTGATTCGTCTGAAAATTTCAGAGCTGATAGATCTTGACCAATTGAACAATTTTACCCAATGTCAGATTTGCTCTTAAAGCTTTAGTTTTTGAGATATAAGCCAAAAACTGCATTTGACCCCTTTGTTCTATTTTTAGCCATGACGGCCATTTTTGTCGATGGTGATTCTCATATGTATACAGAATTTTTATCTTGGGGCCAGTTTTCAAATAAGTCCACATTAAGGTCCAAAGGGTCCAAACATAAACTTTGATTTCAACAAATATTTAGTTCTTGATTTTTTGTGATATGCCTAATCTGTGTATTTTTAGATTTTATGATTTTTCTGCCCTGTTTTGTAATTGGTCCACATTAAGGTCCAAAGGGTCCAAAATAAAACATTGGTTGATTACAACAAATACAAATTTATGGGGTTCTATGATAAGCTGATTATTACCCTGTATTCATATTTTGGATTTTGTGCCCAGTTATAAAATTTGTCCGTATTTAGGTCCTAAAATACACTCAGTTTGAATTCATCCATTATTGAAATCTTTTGGTTCTTTCATTTGCTGAATCAAACCATGTAGTTAGATCTTTTATATAAATGGACCATAATCATGATAATAGGTAAATGACTGACTATTTTCACTCTGTGTCAGAACCTATGCTATGTCAAGTATTTAATCACAATCCAGAATCAGAGCTGAATTGCACAATTAATAGAAATTTCATTTCAAGTAAATTCATATTTGATAATATAGATTAAAAGAAGGGAATTACCACTTGAAAAGTCCAATTTAATTTTTTTCAGATCTTAGACCACATTCATTCTGTGTCAGAAACCTATGCTGAGTCAAATATTTAATCACAATCCAAGTTCAGAGCTGTACAAAGCTTGAATTTGGTATCCATACTTGCCCCAACTGTTAAGTTTTTGACATCTGCAGTCATACCAAGATTAGCATTTTATAACTAGTATGTTTTTTTTTTTAAATATTTGAATATTTGTACACTTGCCTTTAATGCATGTACATTTTGTTTGGTTTGTTTTTATTAGTGCACTATGATTTTATATGTACCTGACAAACTATTGTAAGCCCTTCCAGAACCTTTCTTCTGCCAACAAGTGTCTGTGGATGCATTAATACCTGCTTGTTCATTACCTTCTGTAAAAAAAGATTAAATTCATAATACAGTAACCGGAAAATATGTATTCAAAAACAGATTTCCAGCCCTAAAAACATGAACCAAAAGGTAAAACTTAACTAAAGTCACTTAAAGTGGCCCAAGTGTTGTTTAGCTTGATTGTCCTTTATACATGAGGACTGTAGCTGAGAATTATCATTGATTTATTATGTAATGTTTTCACAGAAATAAACCTAAACACAAAACTCAACCATGAAATTAAGGTGATAGTGACACTAAGATTTAGGTATATATAAATAGAGGCTCCAAGGAGCCTGTGTCGCTCACCTGATATTTTTGTTTTACAATTGATGCATGAAATAATGCAACCATTATACTTTTGCTTTAGTTTCAGAGTCAATAACTCCTTAAGGGGTCAATTGACAATTTTGGTCAAGTTGACTTATTTGTAGATCTTACTTTACTGAACATTTGCTGTTAACAGTTATCTCTATCAATAATGAATTTGGCCCAGCAGTTTCAGAGGAGAAGATTTTAGTAAAAGATTACAAAAATTTACAAAAATTGTGAAAAATTGACTTTAAAGGGCAATTACTCCTGAAGGGGTAAACTTATTTATTTGTAGAGCTTACTTTGCTGAACATTTTTGCTGTTTACAGTTTATCTCTATCTATTATAACATTCAAGATAATAACCAAAAACTGCAAAATTTCCTTAAAATTACCAATTCAGGGGCAGCAACCCAACAACAGGTTGACTGATGCGTCTGAAAATTTCAGCTCAGATAGATCTTCACCTGATGAACATTTTTACCTCATGTCAGATTTGCTCTAAATGCTTTAGTTTCAGAGATATAAACCAAAAACTGCATTTCACCCCCCATGTTCTATTTTTAGCCATGGCGGCCATCTTGGTTGATGGGCAGGGTCATCGGATACTTTTTTTAAACTAAATACCCTAAGGATGATTTAGGCCAAGTTTGGTTTTATTTGGCCCTGTAGTTTCAGAGGAGAAGATTTTTGTAAAAGTTAACGGACGACGACGGACGCTAAGTGATGAGAAAACCTTACTTGGCCCTATTGGGCCAGGTGAGCTGAAAAGGTATAGAAATAGAAGTACTTTAATAATCTAATTATGGAGCCTAGCAGATTTTAAATTTCATACCATTATTACAATGATTTTTCTTATGACAATGAAATAATATTGAAATAAATTACAACACAATAGAACAATGAATAGTTGTTGCATGCACATAGAAGAGAAAAGTTAATAGGGGAGACAATTAAAAAATATTAAAGGATTATTTCCTTTTGAACTGTATCTAATAATCTTTGAAGATATGTTGCTCTGAGTTGGATAAAAAAGAAGCCCAAACTAACAAGATATAAGGGTAGGTTTCTCCCATGTACATGCAACAACCAATTACTAAACATCTATGTATATGATATTTAAATTGCAAGAATTGGATTACCACCTTTACAAATTTGACTGCAGTTTAACACATATTTTAGGCATTAACATATACATGTCAATATATAAAATGACATTTGTAAAATATGTGTGCCATTGTATGTACAATGTACATGTATATGCAAATGACAGGATCAGGCCTATTTTTGTTATAAAATTATAATATTTAATTTTCATTCAAACCTGCATCAATGGTCATTGACTGGAAAGCTTCGTCAAGTAAAAACTTCCTTTCTGAAGCATTTGCCTGACACTCTATTATGTCTCCAACTTCATTTTCTCTTGATTTTAGTGAATTATGATGAGGACAATGGACATTCATGGCAGCTAGCAAATTATTCAGCTGGGTTTCTCCTATGCCTGTATGAATCATACCTGATAATATAAAAAACATACAGAAAAATAAATGAACAATAAATTTAAAACACTAGCAAAATTATTTAAAGTAGCTATAATTATATAGGTTGGGCCATATTTTCTGTGTACATGTACATGTAGGAAAATGAAGGCAAACAAAATTAATTTTGTGTCTCCTGTGGCAATGCAAAATAGGGAATTATGATGTCTGACCAGGATAAAATGGTATGTTTTAAATTATCACACTACTGGCAGCTGATTTTAGTTCTAGTTGGCTAGTAAGTCTTGCAAATCAAGAGGATTGTTCATGTTGACAATTAAGATTGACATATGCTTAAAGATACTCATTATCGCAAAAAGTTTCATTCAGTTTCTAGTTGGCTAGAATTAAAAGCAGAGGACATTATCAAATTCACCACCTCCTCATTTACCCTATATATATTTACATGTATGTAATACATATACCCATTTTTTTTTATAATATTCTGAAGTCATTTCTTGTATGATATCAAAAATATTTTGGTTATCAAATTAAATTTCCTCAATTTTGGAATAACATGTGATGACGTCATTATTCTACTTTTATGCATCATATAGCATTTTGAAATTAAACAAAAAACATAAATCTACTCTTTCAATTTGAATCGTCAGAACTTTAGATAAAATATCCTTGATATTTAGGTACATGTATCAGCCCACTAAGCCAATCTCGGAATTAAGTATTTTCTGCACTTTTCATAGTTTATTACATACATATATTTATAAATGTATAAATAACCTGCCACACCAAGTCTGTGTGTTCATTACTTGTTTTTCTGCTTTTTATTGATCTGATGAGTTATAATTAAACCCTTGTCAACTGATTTTTATATTTTGTTCATATATTGCTCTGTTACAACACTGTCCCAGGTTGGGCACCTGCATAATTTAACCTCTCCATATTCTGTATGTGCTTGTTCCAAGTCAGGTGCCTGTAATTTAGTGATTGAAGTTTAATGCTGTGTAACATATTTGTTTTTTCATTCATTGTTAAGTACTAAAATTGTTGTTAGTTTTTTGTTTGAATTGTTTTACAATTATCATTTGGGGCATTTTATAGCTGACTATGTGGTATGGGTTTTGCTCATTGTTAAAGGTTGGACGGTGACCTAAAGCTGTTAACTCATATGTATTTGGTCTCTGTTGGAAAGTGGTCTTATTGGCAATCATACCACATCTTCTTATTTTTATATGTAGTACAATTTTTTATATTGACCAAACTATATCATTATCGTAATTGAAAGAACATGTGTTTACCTGCAGCTAATTTTGTATTGACATCAAATGTACCAACTCCTTTTCTACTTCTATTTGCATGATGTGTCTTCCCTAATCTTATTCGGGCAATATCTCCACATTCTGTACATTATATATACAAAATACCAGCAACACCATAAGGTTTAACTCCCAACTAATTATGTAATTGTAAAGGGACTTCACATTTGGAACATTGTTTCAACTGCTGAACAATATAGTCTAGTTCGACAACATATCTACAGTGGTTTAAGGGAAGTAAATCAGTAGGTAATGGTAATAAGTCAAAATCAACATTTATATTATATTCATCATCAACCACTACTTCATGATCTTGTTTATCAGGTACAGACTCAAAAGCAACATTACACAAATCAGATGTTTCAATGGTTTTCAGTTGGGCATATGAGTGGTCAGGTTCTAAGTTTTGACAATGGACTGAGTCAAATGATGGTATATCGTGGTGGTCAGGTTCTAAGTTTTGACAATGGACTGAGTCAAATAATGGTATATCGTGGTGGTCAGGTTCTAAGTTTTGACAATGGACTGAGTTAAATGATGGTATATTGTGGTGGTCTGATTGCAATCCACTCCTGTGAAAAACTAGCCCTTGGATTCGTTGGTTTTTTTTTCTAAATTCTTCTTTTTGAAAATTTTCCTTGTTTGTTCCTTTGAGACATTGTTCAGCAGACGATACAATATCTTACGATTGTTGTGATTTTATAAACTTTTTCATCATTCAAGGATTTGCAATATTTCAATTCTGAACGTACTTTTTAGATACTCACCACGATATCTCTTTCTTTGGGTGGATCTACGTGTTGAAAATTAGTAAGACAGCTTAAAAATATACCGAAATGAATACAAATTATAACAAAAATTGATAGTCATTCTAGTATAAATATAAAAGCTGGTTACTTGTCAAAATATTGAAAGCAAGTTTCTTCCGAGATTCCAAAATGGCCAATCTCGATGTCAACAAACCGTAAAAAGGTCGACTTTGTAGTTTTAAATACCGTCCTTAATTTAATTTCTGTGAATTATGAATCGAGAAAGCACTAACTTAGAACAAAAATGGCTAGTGTTTCTATATTGTTTTTAATCGAGAAGAAAGTAAATATTTTGCGACCTTCGACCGATTACCGTAATGGCTGCGCACCAATCGACGCAACGGGCGCGAAAATTTAAACCCGCGAGCCCCCTTAATCTTATTAAAAGGTTATATTAAATTATTGCAAATCATGTTCCTATCCTATATTAAGGGGTTTTAATATACTTTTGTGCCAATAGCTCAGCAGGTTTATCACAATTATAAACTTATTGAATACAAGGAGATCAAATTGGTATTCTTTGGTAAGTTTAGTATCAGTGTTTTGATTTAACATGTTCTTACACAATCAAGATATTTGATTTTCTTCCAGATTTTTAAGGCATAACAAGTTAGTAACTTTACCAGAAGATTTGTTTCTGTTCAACATGAATCCTATATAATTTTAAGTGTAATTGATATTTATATCAGACCTAAACTTATTTAATAGTGTGTGGAATTCTTAACCTCGTTCATATGTTTTCTAACAACACAAAAATTAAAACATTGTATGTATGAATTGTGATCATCTTAGGACTTAATTGTGTTATAGATTATATTGTATATTTAATCACGTACACATATCTGATTTTCTTCAAAATACTTGTGTGTTGAGAACTCAGCAGTTTTGCCATCATTCTTTTTTAATTAAGTTCATTTTTTATGTTAAATTTTAAAGCAATACAAACTTTATCTATCATATCAGGTGGACGACAAATATATTTGATCGATTGAATAACTTAAGATCAACCTTTAAAATGTATGGTAATGTAAATTTAAGAAGATAAATTAAGCATTTTCATGATCATTGATTTTCTATTAATTATTTAATGAGTAACAAGTTAGAAAGTTTACCAGAAGGTCATTTAACATTGAACATGTTGAACACCAATCTTCAATATGTCAGACTTCCTTTTTATATGCTAATTTAACTTTTAATGTTTATTCAATATTTCAAAATTAATCTTAGAATTCCTTTTGGTAATTTGAATATAATTGTCTTGATTGAATATGTTCTTACATAATTAAGATGCTTGATTATACTCCAAAATTGTAACCAAAGACAACAAGGAAAGTTTACCAGATAGTCTGTTATTATCAAACACCAAGTTACAGGAATTGTAATTGTGAATAATGTTTATAACAGACTTTATTTTATGAAAGATTGTGTTGTTTATATAATCACGTACATATATAACTGATATTCCTCAATATACTTGTCTGTTGACAACTCAGAAGGTCTAACTTAATTTCATTTTATTGGCAAACTTCCTTTGTGCATACTTAATGTTACTTTCAATGTCACTCATTGATTGCAGTTGAAGCTTATAAAAATGCATCAACAATGTCAGTTTGAAGAAAAATATATTTCATCTTTTCAATACACTGAGATCGAATTTGGTAATCTCTGGTAAATTCGGTATCGGTGTTTTAATTTAACATGTTCTTACAAAATCAAGATATTTGACTTCCTTTCAGATATTTATACGAAAACAAGTTAGTAACTTTACCTGAAGGTCTGTTTTCTAGCAACACAATCTTCTATCAGACCTAAACTTATTTAATAGTGTGTGGAATTTTTAACCTCGTTCATATGTTTTCTAACAACACAAAAATTAAAACATTGTATGTATGAATTGTGATCATCTTAGGACTTAATTGTGTTATAGATTATATTGTATATTTAATCACGTACACATATCTGATTTTCTTCAAAATACTTGTGTGTTGAGAACTCAGCAGTTTTGCCATCATTCTTTTTTAATTAAGTTCATTTTGTATGTTGAATGTTAAGGCAATACAAATTTTATCTATCATAGCAGGTGGACGACAAATATATTTGATCGATTGAATAACTTACGATCAACCTTTAAAATGTATGGTAATGTAAATATAAGAAGATAAATTAAGCATTTTCATGATCATTGATTTTCTTTTAATTATTTAATGAGTAACAAGTTAGAAAGTTTACCAGAAGGTCATTTAACATTGAACATGTTGAACACCAATCTTCAATATGTCAGACTTACACTTATTATCAAAATATTATATTGGATTATTTTTTATGATGTTCCTATATGAAGGGGTTTAAATAATGTTTACGCACAATTCATTTGTACTTCTTTATTTAACTTTTAATGTCGTTCAATAATCAAATATTGCTGTTCAAGCAATATCAGTTCTAAGAAAAATATATTTATCTTTTGAATACACGGAGAACGGCATTTGGAATTTTTGGTAATTTTAGCAACAGTGTCCTAATTCAGATTTAATTCATGACTATTGATTTTCTTATAGAACTTTTCAGGGTAACTTCTTAATAAATGTACCAGAAGGTCTGTTCTCGAAAACAGAATTATAATTATAATAATTTGTGTTGTAAGCATTTGTTTTGTATAACAGTTGTTCCTCTTACGTAATAAAATGCCTTGCTTAATGTTTAATTAAAAGCTCTATCTTTTTTGATTTGATGATTTATATCTCTTTTTGCACATATCTGTAGAAACAACATGATACTTTGTCGTTGTTTCTATAATTCCATGTTGTTGCCGTATCTTATATATATTTCTTCCCCTCGAGATTTCAAATTGTTTCGCAATAGTGTGAAAAAGCAGAAGTCACATGGATATGTACATGACATAGAAATTAACCTTACATTAATTTAATATTTAAGGGATATGAGGAGAAACCAATTCATATGCTGCCTCATGATTAATTTTAAAGAATGGGCAAATCAAACAAACCTTTATTACCAAGGAACATGTACGGGTTTGAATACCACCATAGATATTCGCAATTTTAACATGACAGGCTGCATAATTCCAGGTAAGCAGTTAAAAACTTAATAAATGATGAAATTTACTCATATTTTATGTATATGCAATCTATTCATTTCCAATTTGACCTCTGTAGCAACTATCTGAAATAAAAATAAATATCTTAGACATGCTTCTATTTCTTTTTTCAGATTTGTTGTGAAAGTGCCTGAACATTTAACATTCTCGATACATACCTCATGTCCATTTTTTATTCCATGTCTGTATGTCATTAATTTTGTAAATTTGCTTGCTAAATTGGTTTTAGTTTTTTTTATTAAGTCACACTTGTGATGGTGAGAAAAACAGTAAGACACTAAGTTGGAGTTTTGACTAGAGCCTCATTCTCTTTACCGACAATTTTAATTGACCAAATTAAGTAACTTTTGACTTACATTTTTTAGCAGACACAATCTTAAACAACTGAATAACACAGTTTGTTTTTTTCTATATAGTATACCTTACATGTTTGATATATAGGAAAGATAGGATTAGTTTTTTATACCTATAAGGTTACATTTACACTACATGAAATTAATGAAAATTGGATAACTACTGCTGATCATAATAAAAAGGTCAATTCCGGTAAATTCAAGTTATTCAAATTGGCGCTAACTGTCGATTTTGATTGATACCATGCAAAAACCTATTTCCAACTTACAAAACTTCATGTGGTGTGACTGTAGTCTGACTTTGAATGCTAGAAAAGAAAAGGTTAAACAAGGGAAGAAGCTTAAGACCAATATCATTCACAAATGAACTTAATAACTCCTAACAAGTTAAAGGTAAAATTATGAGTATGATGCATGCATGAGTATTTAAATGAGGTCAAATGATTGTTTTGTGGGATTAACTTATGCAAAATTGAGGTTTTCAATTTATGATGACAAAATTAAACCAAACTGACTGCTAATAGTGAAAAATTGTTCAATATTTTTGCAACAGTATAAGATTGATAACTTGTTGTTTTCATCTTTTTTAAATGAAGGATGGAGCCTTTGGTTCAACTCCTCATGTTCTGTTACTTGTGGAGATGGTGTGATAGTGAAAACCAGAACATGTGACAATCCCCCACCGTCTGACGATGGACTGAAATGTGTTGGTTCCAGAACTGAAACATCACTTTGCAACTTAGGAAAATGTCCAGGTAAATTCTTTAAATACATCAGATTAAAATCAACATTACCTTATAATTTAATTGTTAACCAGAGCGGAATACTTCTTTTTAGAACTTATTTAAACCTGTTAAATCTATCATTATATTCTGTGAAGTCAGAATAAAAAAAAAACATTGAAGATGTAAGGCTTTTTCGCCATACGCGTGTTTCTTCTACGTGAGACTCATCTGTAGCGTTTGAATGAAATCAGTTTTGAGCTAAGATCAAATACATGGTAAAGGGAATAAAAAAGTCAAGTACCAAATATGGTTAAGGCAATCAAAAAACCTTAGTGTTTCCAAATATTTCAACATTTCAAAAACAATAAACAGTCAGGGCAATACTATTTCTTTAAATCAATAATTCAAGTAACATTTCCTCCAGAAATGCTGCAAGTAAGAGTAGTCTTTCTTTAACAATCACCTATTTAAATAGTACATTTAAATCACTAGGCTAAGTAGCTTTACATATATAATATTCATGATCCTGGAATTAATTATGATGTTAAATTTATCAAAAACAACATCTGTGTTGATAGGATGATCTGTCATGTCAGATGATGACCCTGTACTGAAAATGGGATAATGACATGAAAATCACTCATATCATACCTGTGTTTTCTTAACTGTCCCCTGCCCCACTCACACACACACACACACACACACACACGGTATTTTCAACATCCCTGAACAGTTAATTTTGTATAGCGAACAGTAAAATTTTATTACATTATCTAAAAACCGAAACCTTGAATTTTACAGAAAAATACGCCAACTCATGGGAAAAATCTGTTTGGAAAGTATAAGATCATTATGTAAAGCCTTCATTGTAGCATTATTTTCAACAATTTTAGAATTTACAGAAGAATGATTGCATAGAAGGCATAAACAATGCTACCTAACAGTATTTTTTATTCATTTTTTCAAATAATTAGATATAATCTCAACCTGTGTGTTTTTGGCAAATCACTTATTTCATTAAATCCCCTGAATCATGAATTGACAGAAAATGAACAAATTATTTATATATCATGTCAACATGAAAGTGCTGATAACTGGCGTGGTGATACCCTTTGGTCATCGACCCGGTGGTAAACATCTTTATTTCAAAGCTGAAGCTGATTTTTGCTAACATGATAAATTGATACTGTTATTCTGAAAAGTATTTATAAATCTATTTTCCCAAACAAAAAACAAAAATAAACCAAAAAAGCTACAGGGTAAGATACACTCAGTCTTCCTTACTAGACAGGTATCCATACAACATTTCACGCTTGCATTTATCATTCTAAGTTTGTTTAAGTTGTTAATAGATTTAATAGAATAATTCAAGGATATGCCATTACTATCCAAATAAGAAAAAAGTTTAATGTGACATTAGGTGTTTGTTGCTATTCTGTGGTTTGCATGTTGAAATGTACTATTAAATTATTTATTTACGTATTTCTCTGTCCTGAATGTTCTTGCATTTATTCGTATTGTGTTTCTGTAACGTAATGTTGTCATTTTAGCGGTATGTTTAACATTGCAATATACGCGGGAGGTTTGGCTAGCAATAAAACCAGGTTCAACCCACAATTTTTTCTTAAAATGTCCTGTACCAAGTCAGGAATATGACAGTTGTTATCACATAGTCCGTTTCTATGTATGTTGGCGTTTGTTTTTGTAGCAGTCCAGTGTTTCTGTTGTTCCGTTTTGTTTCCTCTTATAGTTGATGTGTTTCCCTCAGTTTTGGTTTGTGACTCGGATTTGTTTCAGTTATTAAATAGATTGATGACTATTGAACAGCGGTATACTACTATTGCCTTTATTTATAAAACAATTACTGATAGTCAAGATGGGTCTATAAAAGTCTCACTGTATTTAGCGAAATCTTGAGTCAATGAGGTTGTATATTGTTCATATCTTTTTACAGAATCATGCCGTCACTCAAACAAAGGATCCAACAACAAATCAGTAGACAATTTGGACAATAAATCAGGTAGATTTCCCCCATAATCTTTTCATTCATTATGACAACCAGAAGTTATGGTCGACATTAATACAATGTTAGCATTGGCTACGGTTACCCGCAAAAAGTAACAATAAGAAATAATTATTGTTACTATTGATACTGCTTGCCGAGATATTTTACCAAGTGGGACCCGATTTCATACGGAAATTGCAGGTAACAATAATATGATGTGTTATTGTTACCTGCAGTAATTATTACCCGCAAAATATATTCAGGTAGGCACTGGTCTAAAAAAAATGTTTGATTTGCGGACAATCTAGGAAATAAATTTAAACAATTAAATTATGATGTAACATTAAAAATGATTAAACTTCCAGATAAATTGACCAATATGACGTTTATTATTGCCATAGGGTGGTCGATTAAAGCAGTTCACTATTCGTTACTCGAATGAGCAAACTGTCCAATTTGTGGTCAGTGAAAAGTTTATATCTTTTAAAAATTTTAATGATAAACTTCAACAATTGCAAGATGCAAATTCTGTTCAATTATATAGAAGAAGTTGTGATCATAACCCCAGAGGAACAATTTCTTTCATTTTAGAAATTTCGTACGAAATTGCTCGACGAAAACATTAATCTCAATAGAATCATAGAATATTTTTCTAATGAGTCATGGAAAATGCAAAAAAAAAACCCAGATATAGCAGAGGAAGAACACAGCAGAGTGGAATTGTTTAGTGTGTGGTATTCACTTCCATATATATAAATCTATTGTTTGCAACAGGTATCAGGGTACCACCTAAGATGTGTTGGCCTCAAAGTGTCAACCTAAGGCTATATACTGGATGTGCCAGAAGAGCCACCAAAATAAATAGCTATAATACTTCTTATTATGTATAAATGTATAAATGTTGCTGTGTTCATTAAATAATTTCTATTCAATTTTTTGTTTCAAATATGTTAACCAAAGAATACGGGGCAATGACAGGAAGACGTACAAAGTATCCAGATGCTACACAAAAAAAATGTAATTTGCAAATGTAAAATTTTGTGAGTAACTATAACTGCCGGTAACAATAAAAAAATATTTTATTGTTACCTGCAGATTCCGTATGAAATTGGATTCCTCTCCAGAAATAAATTTCAGGAATTAGTCTCAGAAGTAAAAATAACCATTTTTTATTGTTACTTTTCGCGGGTAACCGTAGCCAGTGCATACAATTTTTGTCTCGCCTGTGATAAAAGTCGCGGAAAGCGAAATATAGGGATTGCATTTCCGGCGACGGCAACGATGGCGTCAAAAATTGTTAAGTTTTCTGCCTAAGTTAGTTTGAAAGGAATTACTTGTGATAGATCATTGATATTTAATACAAACTTGCATTACTATCAGTACATATTAGTTTGACGGCCATTTTGAGGTCCTGCCCCTAGGTCATGGTTCTGCGACTTTGAATGAACTAACAATTTTAAATGTTAACTTTTCTACTTAACATAATTTGATAGGATCTACTTGTGATAGATCAATTATATTTAATATAAGGTTGCATTACTATCAGTACATATCAGTTTGACGACTATTTTGAGGCCCTGGCCCTTATGTCGTGGTTCAGCGACTTTGAATTAATTATGAATTTTCAATGTTAAGTTTTCTGCTGAAGTTAGATTGCTAAGAACTGCTTACAATAGACAATGATATTGTCTATATAGTTACATTACTATCTGTACATCTAAGTTAGTGATCATTTAAAGGCCCTGCCCACAAGATCATGGTCAAATGACTTTGAAATAATAAGCAATGTTACTGTCCATCAGATTGTCTATTTCTGACTTTTATGCCTACAGGCGAGACATATCTTTTTGTCATCAGTTTATTGTTGTGTCAATGCAGTTAATATTATTTTCCAATTTTGAATTTATTACGACATTGATATATCACCCACCCTGTTAAACCACACTAAGTCGAAATATCACACATGTAAGACAGTGCGGCTGGTCATTTATTTATTCTTTTTCTTCCAGGAAAAAAACTGCATAAATTGAAAGCCATGAACCAAAAAAGAAGGGACAAGTTTGATTGGAAAAAATAAAAACAAAGTGGATCGATTTCATTCTTATATAAAACTGAGGGACAATTCTAACATGGTTTGAATTTTATCATCATCATTGTAGGTAAAGTCATTCTTTGCTTTCGTTTGAAATTTTAACTTTCGATATCTTAGATACAATCTGTGTGGTTTACTTTCTCTCGAGTGCAAACTTACTTAGTCTTACTTGTATGTTGTAATCTTGAATTCAGATATTAGGTTAGATGAGTTTTATTGGACCACCTATTATAGCATTGCATCTGTTTATTAATAATATGTATGACATGAAATTTGTAAAAGTGTGTGAGAATAAACGTTTTGTTATATCGTTTGAGGGTGTTTTGTGGGATATACATTAGCTACATGTTACATTTTTTTGGTGATATTTTGTGGGAATATTCATTGGTATTTTCAACTTGTATTTGAATAATTGATATATGTGATTTTTTTCTCAATAAATGCGGGTATAAATTTAATAGTACATGTTTTCATCTTTTTTTTTTCCATATAAATATCAAATGATCAAGGCAAATGATTCATAATACCATATACATATAATTCACAACCAGGAGGTAAACTTGAATTCAGTTATTAGGTTAGATGAGTTTTATTGGACCACCTATTATAGCATTGCATCTGTTTATTAATAATATGTATGACATTAAATTTGTAAAAGTGTGTGAGAATAAACGTTTTGTTATATCGTTTGATGATATTTTGTGGGATATACAATAGCTACATGTTACATGTTTTTGGAAATATTTTGTGGGAATATTCATTGGTATTTTCAACTTGTATTTGAATAATTGATATATGTGATTTTTTTCTCAATAAATGCGGGTATAAATTTAATAGTACATGTTTTCATTTTTTTTTGCCATATAAATATCGAATGATCAAGGCAAATGATTCATCATACCAAATACATATAATTCACAACCAGGAGGTATACTTATTTTCAACTTTCAGTAACTCCAAGTTACTGATGGGTGTAGTTGATGGTAAAATGAGACCCAAGTGAACCAAAACTATACACTTTATCTGAATAGATCAGAGCTATTCAGTCGTGCATTCAGAAGGGGATTCAAACTCTACGAATAAAATGAGCACATGGGTTTTTAATCCTTTCAAAAAATCCATTGTGCATGCTGTATCCTCTCTTCACGCCAAATGTGTTGATGTTACAGCCAACACAGTCATTTACTGTTGTTTTTATATGGTAACATCATTATTTTGAGTGTATAATAGAGGCAAAAGATACCAAAAGGATAGCCGAACACATAAGTCGGAAAACAAAGTGACAATGCCATTGCAAAAAGCAAAAAAAGGATGGATAAGCAGGTAATCATCCACATGTTGCTCTCGTCTAACTAATGTATGCAATATCATCATTCACGAAGGGGAATATTTCATTAAATGAAAAACGTGACCTTCTCTCCTTTAGTATTAACATTAAAAGGACTATAAAAAGCTCAGTCCAAATATTTGGTAAAAAACTTCCAAAAAACCTTTAAAAACTGCATATGGCCGGTGTCATAAGGTATTTTGAACCCCCTGAAAAGTGAACTCGGGGTAAAATACCATATGGAAAATTGACTCCGGGGTCATTATACCGCATGGTATTTTGACCCCCGGGGTCATTTTTCCCATATAGTATTTTGAACCCCAACTTGAAAAATTGAACCCTCCTGTTTTAGTCAAAAGCATTGCAGATTTTTAAATGTACAATATGTTGGCTATGTTTTTTTTTAATTGGAGGTGTATAGTAAGGGGTTTAATATACCATGGCAGGGGGGTCGAAATACTATGGTTAAGTAAAATTTTCCAAACATATTTATAGCCATGTTTAATACATACCAATTACTAATTGGAGTATAATTACTATTAAGAGGGGTTAAATTAGCTATAATATTTGAAATTGGAGGTGTATAGTAGGGGGTTCAATATACCATGGCAGGGGGGTCAAAATACTATGGCTAAGTAAAATTTTTCAAACATCTTTTCCAGCATGTTTAATACATACCAATTACTGATTGGAGTATTATTACTATGTAAAGGAGTTAAAATAGCTATAATATTTGAAATTGAAGGTGCATAGTAGGGGGTTCAATATACTATGGCAGGGGGGTCGAAATACTATGGCTAAGTAAAATTTTTCAAACATCTTTTCCAGCATGTTTAATATATACCAACTACTTATTAGAGTATTTTTTTTTTATGTAAAGGAGTTAGAATAGCTATAATTCTTGAAAATGGAGGTGTATAGGAGTGGGTTCAATATACCATGGCAGGGGGGTCAAAATACCATGACTAAGTAAAATTTTCAAACATCTTTATAAGCATGTTTATTACATACCAACAACTTATTGGAGTATTATAACTATGAAATGGAGTTAAAAAGCTATATTTTTTTAATTGGAGGTGTATAGGAGGGGGTTCAATATACCACGGCTGGGAGGTCAAAAAACCATGGCTAAGTAAAATTTTATAAACATCTTTATAAGCATGTTTAATACATACCAACTACTTATTGGAGTATTATTACTATGTTAGGGAGTTAGAAAAGCTATATACCTCCATTTGCAAGAATAATAGCTATTCTAACTTTTTTACATATAGTACTAATAAGTAGTTGGTGTGTATTAAACATGCTTATAAAGATGTTTTAAGATGTGTACTTAGTCATGGTATTTTGGCCCCTCTGCCATAGTATATTGAACCCCCTACATACATGTAGTAATAATACTCCAATAAGTACTTGGTATCTATTAAACCTGCTTGAATAGACGTTTCAAAATTTTAACTTATCCATAGTATTTTGACCCCCCTGCCATGGTATATTGAACCCCGTCCTATACACCTTAAATTTCAAAAAAATCATATCTATTCAAACTATATTACATAGTTATAATGCTGTGACTAGTATTTGGTATATATGAAACATGTTGGAAAAGATTTTTTTAACAATTTTACGTAGCCATGGTATTTTGACCCCCTGCCATGGCAAATTGAACCCCCTTGTCTATACATCTCCAATATCAACAATCAAATCATTTAAACTTCTTTTCAAAGTTTTAATACTCTAATAAATATATGGTATATATAAAACATGTTGAAAAAGATGGTTTGACTATTCTACTGAGCCATGGAAACTTGACCCCCTCCCCCTTGTTTACCATGGAAAATCTAACTTCCTTTATATGTTAGGATTTCAAATAATCAAAGCATTTAAGCTACATAGTCTAGTTATGATGCTTCAATATTATTTTGATTGACATTATGTTGGTAAAGACTTCAGAGCACTTATACCAAGCCATGTGGTTTTTTTTTTTTTACCTACCATGGAAAATTGACCTCCCTTTTTTGTATGTCTGATTTTCAATCTACAATAAGCTTTAAAATAATGTATCATGTTCTAATAATTATTTAGAATGGAAAAACTAACATGGGGGTCAATTTACCATTGGGGGGGCATCAATTTTTCATACAGAGGGGATTCAATTTACCATAGCGGTATTTTGAGCCCGGGGTCAATTTTCAATGGGATTCAAAATACCATATGACACCGGGTCGTCAAGATGTTTAACTAAATTTCTTGCTAAAGTTCTTACTACCATTTATTCAACAATAAAGAAAGGCATTCCGAAATTCATTTTTTCACAAAAAATATTACGATAAAAATTGATCGGAAGTTATACTGAAATGCTCTGTGACTTACGAATATTTTTTCTTGTAAGATTTTTTTGTGATATGAGCAGCCATCTTTCATATAGATCTTAAAATAAATCTTACTCTTACTTATCAAACATAATGAATAGGTCAAAACCGACAGAAAATGAAACTTAAAGTAACTGAAATTAAAAAATAAATTAATTTACACTAAAAACTTTAACCTATTAATCTAATGAAAACAATGCTGATATTTTCCTGGCCAAGTAAAATTATGGCATAAAGTACAAATAGGTTATTGAAATATCATCATTTATAACGAAGAATAATCTATATTAAAGGATAAGTGTTGTATCACCCTTGATTTGGGGGGGGGGGGGGGATTATCTCGCCCCCCCTCCCTATTTGTTAACAAAGAGAGGTATCAGGGTCTTGTCTTTTACTCTTTTTTAGCATTCAAATGAAATGACACGTAAAATAGTTTCTCCTGACTATATGTAGATATGTCAAATTTGTCAGATGGCTTCATTTAAAATAAACAAAACGAAAAACATGGGACTATTACACTAACATATATATTATGTCTCAGAAAAAAAAATATTAAACAAGGTCTGCAAAAAAATTTATTGTTTGACATATTTTGATATTTCTAAGAAACTCACTGTTTGTGTGTGTTTATAGCAAGCTTGCACTATGTGTATATAACAGTCACACATCACCTCTAATCTTTAAGATCAACAATGCAACATAAGTGCAATACTGTTGACAAGATGCCCTAATTCTTATAACACTTGAATTTTTCGTGTTGCTCAGTCTCTAGTTTCTATGTTGTGCTTTGTGTACTATTGTTTGTTTGTCTTTTTCTTTTGAGCCATGGCGTTGTCAGTTTATGTTCGACTTATGAGTTTGAATGTCCCTCTGGTATCTTTCGCCTCTGTTTTAAAAAAAAAATACTAGTTATGCATCCCTTAATAAAAGGTTTGTTTTCTTCAACATTTCAAAACTGTATATCACTGCTGAAAATAATCTTGAATAAAGTTAACAATAGTATACCGCTGTTCAATAGTCATGAATCGATTAAGCGAAAATAAATCCAGGTCACAAACCAACACCGAGGGACAATAACGGAACAACAGACAACACTGAACTGCTACAAAAACAAACGGCAACATACATAAAAAAGTCAAATCCGGATTTCAATCAAATGTTACATTCATCTTCAAAACTTTTTTATTAGATAAAATTGACCAACATGACCAGAAATTCTCGAATAAGCATTGATCACGCATGACATACTCTCTCTGAAGTATTAAACGTGCCGAGAAAAACTTATAAGTATTGCTTTGATAATTTTTAAACAGAAAAATCAGTGTTAAGACGTTCGACGATGTAACTCTAATTTATTATAATTTTTATATTTAAAGTAATCAAAACGCTCTAATGAGGGTGTGGAAAGGGGGTGTTCTTCTTTTCTGTATTCTTTAATTTTTTATGTCATTTTTCTCTATTCTCATTTTCTCCCAATTATTCTCTATTCAGCCTATACGAGAAGTATAGCACGTGTCTATAAAAACACAAGTTTGTCTAAAAGGATAGCTGTGGAAAAAGCCACGCCTACGTTAAACTGATATCCAATCAACTGCCTTCGGAAACATAAATTACAAAAAATCAAACAAGGAAACAGAGATTTGGTTGCGCATTTAATATTTGAAAAGGTTTATATATAATTAAACGTCAAATAATGGGAAATTGGTGTGTACAACAATCAGCCCCCTCTTTTTTATACTATATTTAAACTAAGAAATACAAAATATATCCGTACTGCAATATTTGCGATTTTACAAGCATTTTATACATCGATTTCCCGCAATTGTCATATCAGAGACATATATACACATGTGCTTTAATATATGTCTCTGGTCATATTTAAAATTTGACAGAGCTAGATAATATAATGTCTACCTATCTAGTGCAGAACAAACCATCAAATTCAATAAAATTAACAAACTAGAACATTTTTTGGATTATACAATTATAGCCTTTGTATGAGATCGATACGAGGTGATATCGACCTAAGAGAAGTATATTGACTAAGGACGAGGTCCGAGGTCGATAAGCTTCTCTAGATCGATATAACATCGTATGGACTTCAACCAAAGGCTACAATTAACAACTATTGCATG